CACAAATCTGCCTGTAGTTCTGCCTCGGAATTTTATCCACATGATCATCAGCCCCGTCAACGGCATCTGTCACTACAGCTGGGGACATGCAGACAGACACTGCTACTACTCCCTCTGAGTTTTCTACTTGGCTTGCACACAGGTCACATGCTCCTTCATACAACTTCTTTTATTTTCCAAACTGAATGATTTCGTAGTCGGTTCCTGCTCTTCGCACGGAACGCTATGCTCTTTATTTGACATGACGCAATCATTGCAACATGTTCAGGCGAGATAACTGTATGTTTCTCGACCACGCCTGTGCCACTGCTTACATCTGACAGTGTTACGCAGGATGACTCTGCGGCTACTGCCTCAGAGTTACCTACAAGGTATACGCTCCTTTTGCCTTAGCTCTTCAATTTCATTTTCCTTCTTTCTCAACTCTCTTTCAAACTCCATTTCCTCCTCCCTCTCTTTGCGAATGCGCCTCTCACGTTCCCCACATCAAGCCTCCATTTCATCGCCTTTAGACCCATGCGTCTTGCCAACTTCTCTAGGTCTGCCCTACTCATGTTCCTGTTCTAGTGTGGAGAGGTAAGTGGTAAAAATGGTCTCGTCCTGTCGCGCGGACGCCAATTTGTCACGAGGCCGTTTAACGGGCATGCACTCGTGTAGGTTCGTGTAAAAGCAAAAACCACCGATGACATAACCATCATCGGGAAATGAGCTGACGAGACCATTTGCTCCCACCCAAATCTCCAACAGTCAATATATTTACAAACCCCAAAAAAAACAAATAGCAGACAAAGAACACAGCATACATAACTACAAAGAGGTTGGCAAGAAGAACAAACGGCTAAAGACGTGAACAGTGCATTACATAAATGTTCAGTTGAAAATAAACTTTGTCACGACATAGCTGGAAGAGGTGCTTGCAGCGAAAGCTGTGCTACCAATCCATGGACGCACTCACGTAAACGACGGCAGCGGGGATGCGGGGCTTGCAACTGATGCGACCGAGTAATGGTGAAGACGCACTTGTGCAGTAGGGAAAGAATGGTGATTAGCTTGAGACGCTCACGTGGTTGACTGGCACGGCAGGAAGCGTCGGGCTGGTCGAAGTCAGTGACCTTTCGGCGTTCGGCAGCCGCAGCTCGCACACGAAGCCGGAGACGTTTCTTGGCCAACGCCAGAAGACCAGAATAAGCCTGGCCCAAGTCAGGTGACGAGAAGAAGCTCAGTGTCCAGGTGGGAGCCCGCTGGGACCTCGATGCAGGAGCTCTGCTGGCCGCCACTCCCGCGCCCTGACCACCTTCTTCACTCTGTCCCGACTCGGCCACGTCTGCCTGGCTTTAGGACTGTGGAACCATCGGTGACGAGAGAACGCAAGCTGGTGGCGACGCGTGAGGGAACCAGGGTCAACCTGGCCAAGCAGCTGGGCGCACAGCTCGGGCCCGTAGCCCGATGGCTGTTGCTCACCTGTTGGAACCAGAGTCCGCAGGCCCTGGGTAGGAGTGCAGGACCGGATGGTCACGGTCCTCTCGAGCGGGAACACGACGGCAGCCCGGCCGGTTGAAGTCCTGCAGGCTCGGGTCTGACGCCCGACGGCCCATCTTCAGCGCCCGGTCCGGTGACGACCTTCCGCTTGCCCCGTCTTCTTCAAACTCCCCTTGATCTGCTCTGCTCAGGCTTCTGCTGCCGCTCTCGTCCACTTGCCTCGTCCCGATTGGAGATTCTGTACTTTCGTGGTACCCAGCCATTGAGCCTTGAAATCTCCGTGGAAGGACCTCATTGGACCGAAATGTTCACGCCCACACGTGCCGCAACCAAGCGTTATCTTCATCTTCTTCTGGCTGATGGAGTGGCGCACTTTTTAAACGCGCGCAATCACATCACACATACGAATATTGCACGCTGTTTCTCACGTCAAGCCAATCAAAAGAGAGTGATGTTTATCGTCCTGTCACATGACATCACGTCACTTCCCATAACAAAAATAGTCGACGTGTGTCGCTGTAGTCTGAAATCAAGGTAGTTTTTCCCGTAGATTAAAATTATAACAGCGTCCATTTCGGTGTTGCCATGTGCGCGATGACATCGGCGCTTTCCACATCACCAGAAGAACCGATGAAAAATACATGCTCAAATAGTGTCGCAGGACCGCTTTAAGGCCGCGTTCACACTGAGCATTCCGGCCGCCGAAAGTGCTCCGAATCCGGTTCGGCGGCGGCGAGATACGCCGAAAGGGCCCTTTCCGCGGCGATCGCTCTCGGACCGATTTTTGCGGCGTCTGCCGCCGAATCGGTCACGGCGGACCAATAGGAGCGCTAGTCAAGGAATTTTGAAAAATGGCGGCCAAGCCCTACTCACTTGTTATGCTGCAGTGCACGTAACTGAATGTTGAAACCAACGGGAGTTTAACCTACTCTGTGCCTACTTCACCTCCGTATTTCGTGAAAGAGGTGACCGAGCTTGCTGTTGGCGTGACCGAGCTTGTTGCGGTCTTGCAAAGCAAAACGAACCCACCAACGCCGCTGGCGTCGGTGGTTTTTCTGCTCTTCGTGCATCACAAGACAGCCACTTGCCAGCAAAGTAAGCAGTACTGTCTTTTCTTGCGTCTTGCGTACGAGAATCGTCGAAGTATGCACCACTGGATAGCGTAGTAGCGTTTGCGAGCCGCGACAACAACCGGGTGACAGCGCATCCATCCCGCGTTCGCCCCGTAGTAGATGGCATATTCGGCGGCGCGGGGCGCGTCCAGTGCGAACGACGCTGTGTTTCGGTGGCAGGGGAATTTCGGTCGCTGTAGAAAGCGAATGTTTCAGTGTGAACTAGGCATAAGAGGAAACCTTATAAGCGCGAAAATGCACGCGACAGCGACGAGCGATGCTATGAGCGACGAAACAGGGCGTTCGCGCGACGTGTCGCGTGCTCGTTTTAGCGCGATCGCTTGGTTCTCCAGATTTGGAAACCGTCGCTCATCGCCCGGAAGTGCTGGGCTCAAGCTGCCAATAGCGAAAAACCGGAAAAGACAAAGACTGCATAGGTGCACGTGACCATGCCCGAGTCACGTACGCGCAACAAGAAATAACGCAATGTTTATTACGCATGTGCATATAAAAAGTGCTGCAAGGTAATAATAAACGTTTTCCGTTTCATT